GGTGTCTCCACCGGTTCCACCACCCTCTGGTCCATCTCCAGCACCACGGAACTATCTTGAAAATTTAATTTGGCCCTCGCGGCCCTTAAAAAGTCCATACCTAAAATAAGAGAGTGTTGGAGGTGTTTCACCACAAAAATTAATACTTTGAGATTTTCCTCTTTTACCTGTACGTTTTTAATGCTACTTTCCCGATGCAGTGACATGTTTTCCTTGCGCCGCTATAAATTTCCGTATTTCTGGTTTTAATTTTTAAGAGTCGTATCCTATAAAAATTCTTTTTGAAGAACTTTTCACTCATGAAATTGCCTTCTGCCCTGTATCGATGAGGGCTTCTTACTGGTACATCGCCAACCAGGACTTGTATAATTGGTAGCTGTGAGTTTTTTACGATGACTGTATTTAGATGTCTATTGAGGGGTTTTTCTAAAACTTCCGGGGTCTGGACCCTCCCTTTCACAGGCCCCTCTAGTCGTTTAAAGCTTTCCTTTCAATCTGTTGTCTTCTGGGTACGCGGATGCTTATTTTCAAATTTTCTTTTTGGGCCTTGCCCTTCAAGTTTCGATGCGTTAGCTTGATAGTTCTTTTCCCCATATGAGCGATTTCCATTTCTTGTTTCCTCCTTCCTTCTGGTACTTTGAGAATATGTTTCCCCTCTCGCTCTTTCCGCGATTCTGCGATTTTTGAAACTTCACCGCCAATTCGAAATGTTCCTGCAATGTGGTTGGGTTTCTAATTTCAAAGTAGTCTTGGACAGCGGGTAACCAATCTTGGTAATATTATTTCAATAATCTCCGCATCGGGTTTTTTCCCATACAACATATCCGTTAGCTTGATTTTTCGTAAAATAAAGTCCGTCAATTGTGCTGTATCCCGTTGATAGAAACTATATAGCTCGGCTTCCAGCCGTGCGCGATCTTTCACTATGGGGAAGGCCTTTACTAACGATTTTTTGAAATTTTCAAAAGTATACGTCGGGCTTCCAAATTCACCTAGAAGAAATTTGCCTATATTTTTCCACCATAGCGCGGCCTGTCCTCTTAGTGCTGATGTGGCGATAGCAACTTTTTGTCTTTCGGGCACAGGATAGAGCTGAAAGTGGTTTTCTATACCTTCTAAAAATACGGACACCAAATTTTTTCCGTCGAAATAGACGTTTGGCTTGATTGATGCTCTCAAAGTCTGGACCAGGTATCCAAATCCTTCTAACTGCGTTGTCATTTCTTGGTGTTGTCCAGCGGCTTCCATCCAGTTTTCGGCCATTTCAGTTCGATAAGTGTTTGGGCGCCAATATAACGTTGCGCGCCTCTAACTAGCACGCAACCAAGAGGTGACTGTGAAAGCTTGTATAAACCACAGAGTCTTATAAAGGGTTTAAGTCCCTTTTTATTCAACGTACTAATTTACAATTGCGTTCTCTTGACGCTTACAAACGGTGCCAACTCGGCAGTCAAAATAAAAATAAAAACCTGAAAAGAAGAAAAGAAATTAAGACAATATTCTAACTACGAGGCTCTCTCAAATAACTAACTCACCGCGTTTTACAAATACCGCAGCTAATTCAGCAGACTTGAAGCTCACTGGAACAATTGCAACTACTTCCCGCCAAGCACATAGGCCGCAACGCGGGGTTTTTCAAATCTCTATAACTACCTCCGCGCTCGCTAAGTAAGAATAACTCTCTCTCACCGAACTTGTTTCCTTCTATTTAAATCATACTACTTCCGCTGATAATTTGAATGCTTGCGCGTTCTACTCAAATTTACATATTCTGGCATTGGCAGTTCCAGGGGAAAGTAAGGATTGACAGGAAAGATAGTTTAAACTTAAAATAAATGTTAGTTAAAATAAATATAAACCCTACAAAATATTCTGTAACCATAAAAATTAAATAAGTAAATAATTCACTTTTAAGACAACTTTTGTTTCTAAACCAAATTTTGTTCAAAATTTGCTTCAAACTGACTCAAAAAAAAAAAAAAAAAGGAATTTAACAGCAATTTAGCACAAAACACTTTTTTAATAACAAAATATGTGCTTATTGCTAGAAGTTAAAGTTTTATATTAATTGTATGCAATGCATTATAAATCCCGTGAACAGTTTGAAACAAGTTGAATAATGATAACAAACTGCGTTTATTATATATTTTCACTAAACTAGAAAAGCTTTTATACTTTACATTGCAGAACATGTACATTAAATTCAAATACAAATAATTCATACATAAGCCATAATATATCAATATGTTATCTTACTATTCTTTATTACAACAGAATAATTCAACACAATTGGATGCTTTTATCAAATCTCAATTTTAATTATCAATTTCAAATTAACTTTATTATTTATTTACTTGAAATATTTCATAGTTCCTTTTTTTTTTCTACTTTCCACCTTCAAACAGACACGAAGCAATATCACTTACCTCATTTTACTATATTTTAAATTTTATTGTTGATTCAATTCAATTAAAACCTAATTAATTAATTGATCCTATTTGAAAACCTGTTTAAGGCTTTTTTTGTGCTGAATTTAATACAGAAAAGTTTGGTGTTTATCGATTATAGCAGCCCTTGAGTTAAAAACCACCAAAACTGTGATAAAGTGCAAAATGTGGCTAGCTTTAATTTATCTTTGATGTTGCATCTCTTTTTTACTGCTGAATTAATTTTTTTTTTTTTTTCATATTCAAATTTGCCCATAATAATTTGCACACCAGCTTAATTTGAATTTGAGATTTTGCTTTGGTTAACATCTTCATTTTCGTAAAGGAAACATGTATCCTTGCAATTAAAAATCTATCTACCTAAGGATGAAACAAATGCACAATAATTTTGAAAAAATATAGTCGAACCCTGCTATAACAAACCCCCCAGATATAATGAATGGAACTTTTGGCTCTGTCCAATTTCCAATACATTTAATTTTTTTTTTTTTATTCTACTATAATGAACCGCCAAAAGCATGAAAAATGGTTTTATCTTCACCCCTACTTTTCTTATGTTCGAAACAAACAGGCATAAACAGAGGCCCTCTGTAAGACAGGCATAAAGCCAATTCTAGAAAACACAATAATCATATTTTAAGACACCAATACTGTAGTATTAGCAGCCACTGAACTAAAGAACATGAATCTGTCAGATATAGCTCTGTTCAAGTGACACAAAATTTGAAAGTTTTGCTATTCAGGGAAAGAGGAAGTAATGAATCATATGAACATATACAGTTGATACATATTTCTGGAAATGAAGTTTTGATCTTATTGGTTTACTTTGCTTGAGTATAAAGACTATTCAAATTATGGCCTTCGAATAAGGGTTTTGCATTTTTTAAGCCTTTTGCGAAACACAGGATAACTTCATAAAGGTTATTGAATACTTGCTTTACAATCATAGATAAAACTTGCAATCTGCATCATGCCAGCAGAAAATTACACATATTTCTATATTCACAGATTATGTAAAAATTAATGTAAATTTATCAATATTTTTTGTGATTTATTTTTAATGTTTTTTAATTGCTATGAATGCAATAATTATTCATATTCTAAATGGGTAAGTAATATATAAATATGTTTATGCTATGTAGTTTATCATGTAAAATTATTAGTATATATTGAAACTGGAAAAAAGAAACTGACAAATTTAACAACTGTGCATAATGATTGTAATTAAATCTTAATATGATTTTATTAATTAGATTTATAATTTACTTCTTTTGGTAGATGTAACAAATGCTTTTTTCCCTTCATCATTAAATTTTTACATGTTTTTGTGAGATAATCAATTTTCTTATCATATCGGATATAACACACCAAACTTCCAGTCCTTTGAAGTTCAACTGTACTTTTTTCCCCCTTGCAACCATTTAATAAACTGCCTTTACATGTAAAACAGAAAATACACTGTAGTTCTTTTTCTTTACCAAAAATGGAATATAACAAAAGTCTCTCTTAAAAGTAAAATCCCCTTCTTCCCTTCTTTGTCCCAACATTCAGTTGAAAATTCTATATGAATGGTCAGGCCTGTTCCTGGCAGGTAAACAGCAGATGTCCCACACACAGGCGGCAAAATTTAGAGATGCCATATTAACCGGTATCTTGTAATGGAGAAGATACCTGTGCGAGGACAAAAACATTATCCAATGATTTTTTTTGTTCGGAAGGGATAAAACAAAGGTCTTTTTTTTTTTTTCCCAAAGGTTAAAAACAAATTATTAAAACATATATTAAAAATTATATAGAGGCACACAAAAACATCTGCATACAAGTGCTTAACCCCCTTCCCCAAGAATGGGCTCATGAATGGTTAACTGAATTGGATTTTTTTCAATCATTTGGAAAATTAAGTTATGAAAGGTGTTTAGAATGGCACAGGGACAAAACACTAATTGCATCAAGATATGAATACTCGGTTTGCAAGACTGACAGAAAATTTGTGCATAAAGTGCAGTATTAAGTATTATCATCACAAGTTATAAATTTATTTAGCTCCCATATCGACAAAATTATGTGTGCTGAAAGTGTAAAAATGCATTTAAAAAGTGCATTGAAATTATTTACATACCATGGCATATCAAGAAACAAACTTAATGTAAGTTTTAATTTACATTTGTTTTACTCCTATTTGTTGCATTTCAAATTTTAGTGCTCTTTTGCAATACTACTAATGAGCTGCCAGTTTGAAAATTATTTCTGCCCTCGATGCACACTTGTTGCATGAAACCATTTGTTTCTAGCAACAATTCATGTTTTCAGCTAAAAGCTGCTATAACTGACAAATACCAAAAATTCTGTAATTTGTTAATATTCTCAGATGTATGGATTAAAGTTTTCAATTTCATAATCTCTCAAGCAACTTTAAATTCTCCGTACATCAACATTAATTTGGGAATCATGAGACTATTAAGTAAAATTAACCAAAATTATGCAGAAAGAAAAATAAATAAATTTTTATCCGTTTAAGAAGTTATGTTAGAGGTATAAGTAAAGGAAAATTACCTATATTGGCTGATTCATCACTAGATGCTTCATTGATTTCAGATTTGGACACTCTAAATAAAGTACAAAGAATATTAATATTGAACACAGATACGCAGCCATAGATCTTTACCTCGAATTTACATACATAACATAGATCATAGATTTCTAAACATTGAACATAGATCTTTCCCTTGAATTTACATACATAACCTAAGGCATATAAGTATCAAACACTTCTAAAAGATTTTAATTTTTTTGATACAAACTTCAGTGGCTAACAACAATATTACAAAAACCTTTTTTAACCCATAATCATGTTTTTTTTTAGTCCAAAGGGGCAACTTGCCCTGAAGGACTATTAATTTTGTTTTGGCATTTTGCATTGAAAACTTTAAAAAGTTGTATCACTTTTCAAATCATTGCCACCATATATTATCGCCCTATCTTATATTTAAAGAAATTAAATAATGAAGAATCTGCATGAATGTATGTATTCTTCTCGCATTGTGATAAGACAACAGAACTAGAGCCGTTAAAATTTGAATAATTAATCTTCCTTGAAATATGAGCATGTGGAAGCCCTAATTTGAATTTGAAATTTGTTTTATTATCTTTTTAGATTTTTAAACTTAACGAATTTTTGATAAAAAATAAACGATTTCAAAGCGATCATGGCAACACGTACGAAAAAAAAAAAAAAAGTATCTCAAGCGAGATGGGGCAAATTCTAAAGATATGCTCATTTAAAATTATTTACGATATTGCTGTGAATGAATTTTTAGTTGAGTACGTAAACATATATTAATAAAAAAGTAACACACAAAATGTAAAAAAAGCCCTTTGGACGTAATTTAAAATCTGAAAACTTTCAGATTTTTTCCCCCCAGTTTTATTGTTAGAACAAACACATTTAGCTATAGAAATTACCAACCCCAAAAATGTATTTTTCTCTAATAGCTAAAACAAGAAGCCCACAAAAATTGTTCAGATCAATGTTTTGCAAATTATGCACAGAATATATTGATAAAACTACTCTCATTTTACATAAAAAATTTGAATTTAATACTGCTTTAAAAATTTGAAATGGTTTACATTTCATTAAATTATAAATTTTATATTTTTCATCTTAATAAAATAACCACGGGTGTAATAGTACAATCAAACTGCCATGTACACTAGATGCCTGACCATGCATTTAATTAACCGAAATATTTTAGAAATGACAGACTTGTAAAGCTATCATATAGCATGTATAATCACTGTCACCACACAATGTGATCTAGCATCAATATCACAGCATCTGTTTATAATTAAAGGGTTTCTTTTCATGCGAGAAGAGAACTAAGTATATTAGCCAACTCCCTGGGGTTCTTCCCAACAGGTATAGGTTGAAGGAAGGTTGGTATTTCTGCATACCCAACATTGCTGGGCCTGCTAACTCTTAAGCTGCACCCGTTTTGGTGAACACCCCAGGAAGTGGTTTAGGTTCCTCCTACCCCTCTTCCCTTATCATCTACCACTCAAGACGATTTTAAGCTTACTTTGTATTTTGCATGCCCCTTTGCCGCACAGGCAGTATTAGCTTTCCATGCCTTCATGGGATTCAAACCTGGGCCTATCAGTTCAGCATTCAGCATCACTATACTAGCTGACTGATCGTTCTTCTGGACAACTAAATCTAATAACCAGAAGAGGAGTTTCTAAATATGACACTTCAGTGGACCTGTTGCCTTTTTCAGGAGTAAAAAACTGAAAGTGCAAACTGAGACCAATTGTAGGTCTAGTAATGAACAGATGTAGGATATCTCCACTCCATCTGTGGAGATTTTTCCTAGTGTCAAAACTATATTGCTCCCAAGATGTTTAACATGTTATTTAATTGTTAAGTTTTGATAAAGAATCCCTAAATGATGCATACCCAACCACGGATCATTCTGTCCATTCCATTGCCAGATCATTCTGTCCAGGAGAATTCAGCCACATAAAATCCCAATACAGTCAAAAGTCGTTAATTCGGACACCCATAATCCGGAATGATCTATGATGCGGACCTCAAAGCTACACATTTCTGCGCTGGTAGCATTGAGGCAAGGTGCAAGACTTACGGCTCGATTATGCGGTGTGCGCATGTCAAAATCGTTGCGAATGGCGTTTAATGTAACGGATGAAAGCAAGCTAAAATATCTAATTCAGTTAATGTGCAGATTGTGTTGTTCCTTATCTCGAATGGATGGCGATTATTTTGCAGATGTTAGAGCAATTTTTTAAAAGTAAGCTTGAACTTTGATTAGGTCAAATCGAATTTTGATCTAATATAAAGGATCTACAAAGCGAAAGTATGTTTCGAAGTCATAACAAAAAGTGGAATTGCGCAAAAAAAGGATAAAGGATATCTTTGTTTATTAACCATTCCGAAATTATTTATCAATTTACGCTGCTCTGCGGGAGAGGAGGGAAAACACTGCGGCGCGCATGAATTGGAAGTGATCTGTCAGCACTATCCTTATCTTAGGGCAGATGTTTTATTTATTTGGCTATAATTTATAAATGTTGTATTTCATCTCGATGTACCGGTCTTTCAGAGATTAATCAAATTCTCGTCATTAGTAAAAAAGTAAACAATAAATAGTAAGCATTTTTGTAAATTTTGATACCTTTCGATCATAATGCTCTTATTCATAAATAGGTTTCTATTTTAATTTATAATTTGCTGCCATCTCCCAGATTTAAATGATCTATATCCGGAAAATCAATAATCCGGAATCACGAGTCCCGACGAGTCCGGATTAACGACTTTTGACTGTATCAACTTCGGGAAGTCTGAATTGATCATGCGACATTCAAACAAATTAGCATTACATCAATTCAATCAGAAATCTTTGCTTTGGTTATGTGTAAACTTTATTATTCTCAATAAGCCCATTTAGTTTTTCTAAACAAGAACATAAGTTAACTTCTATTTATCCGTTTTCCCTCGTATTTAGAAAAAATAGTTAAAATTTGAGATCTGCCTTCGATTCAACAGCATGCAGTGGGGTATTTTCAAAGCTGCAGGATTCTTGCTTTATCTACAATTCATGTGAGTACTGCGAGCAACGTATAAAATCTAAGATCGCTTAACTTTGTTTATTTGATGTCTGAATCATCAGTCTGCTCTCACCAGAAGTTGAAGATAATCAATCTATGATTTTTCGTAGTAGAATGTAAGTTTCTCTGTTTCTACTTTTTGCATGTGGCAACAAGACTAGTGGTCAATGTTATTGTATTTGAGATAGCCATGAAGAATGGCTTGCTTATTTTGTATCACTTATTTTGCATGTCTTATTTCATATTTATAATTAGTGTAATTAAATAAAATTTCAGGAAATACAGTCCCTGTGTCTGCGTGATTTATTTTCTGAACCAGCTGCAGTGAAATATTTTAAGTTTGTGCTATCTACTAATTATCCAACTAAATAAAGAATAATCTGTTACCTTAAACATCTGTGGGAATGACTGGCACGTTTAGCAAAATCTGTAGCAATTCTCATGATTAGATAAAATATTTTGCTTTCTAATTTACTTAAGATGTCCTTTACTTATTTATGTCAAAATATGACTGAAATATATATGCCTGCTACTGACTGAAATGCATAATTTTTAATCTTGTAAACTTTAAATACAAGCTTTGGTTATTCAAGTTCATAACCTCTCCTCAAAGAAAATGGATGACTGTTTTTTTATGATTTTAGACCAGAAGTTTCTTCCATTGATTTGGTTTTTCTACCATGAAAGGTATTTTTACATGTTCTACTATTTGTGTGTTGGCATTTATCTGTTGGCATTTCCTGAGCTTTCCCAATAGTCAAGATTTTACTCTAAAGACAGATTCCTCTTTTTCCCTCCCTAATAATAATTTAAAACTTAACATCATCCAGAAAGTTAAAATATGGACACTATATTCAGTTTAAAATTATTTTTATTCTATCCTTCAAACATTTAGCCAGTATATATAAATTTAAAATATTTTACCTTAAAATGCCAAAGATGCACACTACCCAGTTAATAAAGATACCCTGAATTTATTTATTTTTAATACAATTAAAAGATCTCTTGATTATATGAAACATCCAAGGGCTGACAGAAACAAAGCGGTTTTTATTTATAATAACTTGAGATGAGCTGCGATATGGACCAGTAATATCAAACTCAAACTGCACACTGGATAGATGCACAGTATGAAAGCAGCTGAAGATTTTTTTTTTTTTTTTTTCAAAACAATATTTTTAACTAAATTCTATATTTTGATTTACTAAATATTTATCAAAACATTAAATTACCAGTAATAATAATGATACAAAAGGAAAATTCCAATTTATATATACATTCCCTGCCTTGAAAGGTAAAAGAAGGTATATGCGAGGAATTTTTGTTAGTTCCACTTTGGAATTCAAATGTATTGACAGCTAAACATTACATCTTCAGATTGGCAAAAAAAAAGCAAATTCTCTTTTTCTGATTTTAGTCTTTTATTCTAAACAAATTTGATCTCGTATACTTTCATCCCTCAATAAATAAAACATATAAATAAATATTTAAAAAACATACAAACATTTATTTAAATATCACGAAATTACATTTTAAACACTGAATTATTTTTCTGGTAACAAGGTCATAAATTTCCAAAAAATCATTTTTAAAATCTATGATGTTTAAATGCACTATTATTGTTATGAAATGAAATCAGTAGAAGACATGACTCTTACAAAAAATTCATTCTTCGCATTCCCTTTTTCTTAATTCAAAAAAGGGGGACTAAAAAAATTTATGATAAAAAGAGATACATTGCATTTATGATCTTTCTATAATATTGACAAAAGTATGCTAAACTTATTTTATATGAATGAAGTGCCCTATGCAAAAATACAGTCAAAAGTCGTTAATTCGGACACCCGTAATCCGGAATGAGAATATCCGGACCTCAAAGCTAAACCTTTGCGCCTGCGCCGCATGAACATGCGCATAGGAGGTTTAGTTGTGGCGGTAAGACCTTTACAACTGGCATATTGCGTGTCTACAAGCGCAGAATAGTTTCGCGTGCGCGTTGTATGTATAACGGACGGGGTATAAGCTAAAGTATCTAATTATCTATTTCAGTAATGTTGCAATTGCGTTTACTTACTTTCGAATGGGATCCAGCTGATTAGTTTGTGCAGACGTAAGAGTAATAATATAAAAGTAAAACTTGAACTTTCGATTATGTCAAATAGAATTTCTGTTCTGGAGCTCTAAAAGGATCTCACAAAAAGAAAGTATATTCATGTCCATCAAAAAAAAGTGGAATGGAATGCTGCAAAAAAAGGGATAAAAACATGAAAGATATGTGACAGAGCGGTTAGTGAAACGAAAAAATTTGATTGAAACTTGGTCGGTATTCCGCACAGCAATTAACGGGACTTGAACAGCGGAACTTGAACTGAAAAGAAATTATGTCTTTTTAAGAATAAAGAGAAAGGTATTATCCCATAAAAGAAGCAACTTAAACAACTTACATTGAAGAATGTTTATAAAGTAAACAAATTATATTAAGCTTCTTTTGTTTTTTGTAAATTTGATACCCTTTAGATCATAAATTCTTCTTTCATAAATACGGTTTCATATTTTAATTTTGAATTTCTGCATGCATCTTACGAATTAAACGATGATTTTAATCCGGAAAAATCGATAATCCTGAATCGGGGAAGTCCCACGCGTCCGGATTAAAAACTTTTGAATGTATATAGCTAAAAAATGCTTAATGCCCGTTCCTTAGATTTTATTTTAATACATTTTTATTGTAAAATATTATTTATACACTCACTAAGCTTTTTATATAAGTAAGTATATTTAAAGCCTTTCATCTAAACTTATAAATATGTGTCAATGAACTACTTTGATTTTAGAACTGAATTTTATCAATAAGAATCAGAACTTTTAAGGGTAATAAATTTTACCTTGATCATTTTTATCATTTCCTTTTTTTTTTTTTTTTTTAATTATTCTCCAACTCATACATACACACACATAAAACACACTACCCATAAAAGCCTCTATCTGACAACACACATCTGCAGTTTCTCTGCCAAAGGAATGTTAACAATTTTGCTTTCTTATCAGTTACTTTATTTACATAAATGTGCACAAAATGGTTTTACATACACATATGTATTAACCAATAAGCTGTAAAAATACATGAAGCATTATGAACATAATTGTTTTATGAATCTATGAAATATATATTCATAAGCTTTTATTCACTGGTCATCAAAATTAAAGGATAATGAGAAAAAATATGCTTACTAAGTTAGCGTTGTAACCAATTTCCAATGCTGCAATTATTTATGTTAATTGAATACAAATGAATGCAAAATTGCACTTCCGCATTTAAGTTAGTGCTGGAAATATGCAAATTCGGTGACTGACAATGTGGTGCAGAATGGATACATGTTGGTCTTCCAGTCTGTAGTATTGTTTAAAGCGAATGTGGTTTCTGAGAGCGATCAATATTCAGTAGTTATGGCTCAAAAGCATCATTTAAGTGTAAATCAAAAGTGGCGAATAATTGGTAGAATAAAGGGAGGTCAAACATATGGTAGTCACGCAAGATTTGAATATCCTTCAAAGAGCAACTGCATCAGAAGACCATTTTCTCTCGTTGTTGGCTCGAAAAAACGATAAAGCGACTACAAAAGATTTGTTTTAGACTTTCAGGCTGTCACAGGAACTCGAATTAGCCATTCTACTGCTGCATGAAGGATTAACGAGATTGGATTATATGCGAGAAAACCAATGGTTCATGTTCCACTCACTTCAACTTCCAGAGGGGCCTGTTTAAACTGGTGCCATCATCATGTCCAATAGAGCCAAGGCAACTGGACCCGAGTATCGTTTACTGAGTTCAGATATAGTCTGAACAGTGATTCTAGGTATGTTTCGAAGTGCAGAGAAGAAGCAACAAGCAACTTGCTTTGTCCTGTCATTTCCACGATGCTGGTTTAGTGGTTTGGGGACGAATCATGACAAAAGACTGCACTAAGCTGCATTACCTTTCAAAGAAGTTCTGTAACCACTTGGAGATATGTCGACGAGGTATTGGAACCCCAAGTTAAACTATTTAGGGGTGCTGTTGGCCCAGAGTTTCTGCTAATGGATGACAATGCTCAGCCTCATTGAGCATATGTGGTGTCAGAATGCTTACAAACAGAAGATATCACTTGAATGGATCAGCCACCTTATTCATCCAACTTGAACTTGATCAAGCATGTATGAGATGCTTTATGGCACTGAATTTTATCACACTAAATTTCTCACCAGACCCTCCAGGAGCTGAAAAAGAGCATCTTTAGAAGGGTGGTATGCCATCCCACAAGACTTGATCAACAATTTGGTAAGATCTATGAAATCGAGATGTGAGGTATGCATATCTGTCGAGGTATGCATATCTGTCCGAGGTCACCAGATTAAAGAAAAATGTTTTCCATCATTTTCCAAATTTCATAAATTTGGTTTTAATTTCAACTATCAAACATTGTAATTTATGTTAACTAATGGTTGTGTACAAATTTCTATTAATAATTTTCCATTAATTATCAGTTACATTTTATTACTATCATTATCCTTTAATTTTGATGACCAGTGTAGACAACACAAAAATTATTAAATCTGCATATTATTTAAATCTTTATAATACCTGGCTTCTCCAAATGTTTGTCCTCCAATTTTTATTTTCAATTTCAGACCATGTTTAAAACCTTCATTGGGAGTGCCAGGACTGCCACCACCAGAATCATCTCCATCTTCAGCACCCCTCTTTTTCTTATGCTTCTTATGTTTATGCTTTTTATGTTTCTTATGAAATATTCCTAAGACATCTAAAATAAATTCAGTACCAAGATATATAACATATGATGTTAATAACATATTTTATTGATTTCTCAGCACTCAGACCTGACTGTAACTTAAAAGTTTGCATTAGATTACTCATGTATGTTTACTGTTAGGGCACACAGCAAAACATTTTCTAAAGCATTCTTATCATGATTGCTAAAGAAAAAATATTCAAATTTTAATTATATATATGTATGTATGTGTTGAGGCTCGTTTCCACTGCTGCGTATGTGTTGCGGTGCGTATGTGTTTCTCCAATCAGGGAGCGAATTCACTTTGATTGACATCTGCAATCCGGTCGACGTGCGGGTGACGGATGACGTAGGATGGGTTCAATTTCTATCCGTATGTCTGCAGATGCGTTGGGTCCCTGGTAAAAAAGGAGCATCAGGGTAGTCCACAAAAAATTAATGGCGGCAGAAGTAGCGATGAACACTCGCGTAGAAAACAAGGTTTGCCTAAGAAATACTTATTTGTGGAATGCATTATAGTGAGAACCTGCGATGTGAAAAAGACAGCAATACGATGAATTGAGGTAAAACAAAGAAGGAAAAATGATAACTGCAACCTACAGTACTTGTTCGCACCGATAAAATCGGCATTCTAAGGAAAATAGCGCAAAAAATTATAATTCCAAGTTCATGAAATAGCAAAATTGGTCTTGACAATTATTTCATAGTTCTGCCTGACTCATTACCTTTATGAAAATGAATGTCTGAATATATCAAACTGCTATAGCAAAATTAGATATGATAAAAGATTTGATATTTTTCCCTTGTGAACAGGTAAAAACTAAACACGGTGAATTATAAATGAACTTGATAGACTTTGAAAATATTACACTGCATTAAGAGTATGTTAATTTTGGATTTCTGTATTTATAAAATGACTTTTTGGGTAACATATAATTTGTAAGACATGGAATTATTTTTAGCAGCCTGTTGAACTCAATCGGAACACCACTTTGAAAGATAATGTTTTTTGTACGGAAATTGTACTAAGAAGGAGAACAAACTTGGTGATTTTTTATATGATAGCACTCTGGAAATAGGACCAAAAAAAAATTTAGTTTTAGAATGATTTACTTGATGATGGATATAAGCCCTACATTATTCATTAACGTGTCTGCGAAACTTAGTTTTTAAGCTAGTCGGTAACAAGGTTTAGTTTTTGGGGTCATCGGTTCGAATCCCCATAGCTTTTTCCATCTGTCTGCCACTTTCTTAGGCTTTTGATTCAATTGATTCTATATTCGTTTTTTAATGGATTTCTATTATTATAGGCATAAAATATAATTTTTTATTTAAGCTCTATTTATTAAATTTTCCCCCCCGCAAAAAATTTGAAAATTAAAATACAAATTTAAAGCTTACGCCTTGTACATCTATATTGAATTTAACCAACACACTCTATTCGTAAAAAGCAAATTTTAAAAATATAAATTTAAATGAAATTTAATGGAACAAATAATGATTAATTATTGCTCCGAAACTAATCTTCAATATCATTAAATTAGGAGAGCCGTATGTAAATCAAATGCAAGTATCAAAATCATGAATAAATATATAATTTTTGGATTATATATTTATTCATGGATTTTGATACTTGCACTTGATTTACATACGGTCTCAGAATTTAAATGATATTAGTTCACAGCAAGAATTAATCATTTATTTGTTTGCATTAATCACAGTGTATAGAAACTAACTCGTGTTGCTCAGTCCAGGCTTGATACGAAGACGCGGTAGGCTGCAGATCTTCCTCAATATTTTTCTTTGGAATATGGTTTTCGGTATGCCACTGCTCAAATTTTCTTCAAAAGTATTAACAGTTTCTTCAAGTTGTTCTTCGGTTTAAAAAATATTAGCAATTTCTTAAGAGTTGTTCTTCGGTTTCAATATTTGCGATTTGTTCAGCAAGCAAAAAAGACGATGCTATGCCTCTTCTTGGTTTAATGCCAAGCATAGCTTCATAAGGAGAAATTAATTCCGATGAGGAGAGATGTGTTTGAAAAATAAAAACAATTGTCTTCTTGTTTACTCACAATTAATGCATTTAACTTTTCAAAGAAAAGTTCACCACTCACTGAAGTATCCATTCAACATAATTTAAGGTATCAGATAAAAAAAAAAAATTTAAGAAAACGTTGCGCATACCATCAAATCTAGCATAAGACTAACAAACAGTGTTACAGAGTATAACAAATACATGCTACATAACTTCAATTGCAAGAGAGCAAAGGATTTGGCAATAGACAGTCGCCCCTCTGCTGAACTCGACTTCTCTTTTCGACCTCCACCACAGTATATCTGTGATTGTCGACATACACCGGTGATGGTTCAAATGTACAAGAATATAACCAAATATTCGGTCTTTCACTGACGTATTAGGTATGTGTTGACATTCACCGGTGAATATCGACATTCTCCAATTTCTGTCTTTCATAGTAACATATATATTATAGCCAATAGTACCCGAAACTTCAAGAATTTTGATAATATTTTTACCAATCTACTTAAGACTATTTGTAATGTAGTTTTGAACAAGTTAAAAAAAAAGACAAAAACTTCTGCTGGATTATTAACGACAACTTGAAAATTACTGAAGTTAGAAATCTTAAAATTTAATATATTAACCGCTATGACTTCTAGACTTCTAGGAAATCTCTAGACATCTCTGCCACTCAAAGAAATTTACAAAAATCTTTTAGAAATGACAAAATTTTATCTTGAAATACTTAATATTCTGGATATTCAAAAATGGAATTTTTTGCTATACAACTATATTAAACATTGAAACTTTCTTTACCTGCAAACACAAGAAATTCCAATGGGAAGCTCATATTCCACTCATATTTGTAACTTATTTCTATTTTCTAAAGAATTCAAATTCCTGAAAAGCCTATCTGCTAATGATTTCAGTAAATTTGAACACACTTACAGATATATTAATGGCATTACTTTCAACAATTTTAATCTCATCAAAAACAGCAACATCTATCCAAATTTGCTAAAATTAAACAGGACCAATAAAAACCAAAAAGAAATAGATTATCTTGATCTAAGTATTCATAATCTAAAAGAAAGTAAACTTTTTGATAAAAGAAAAGATTTTAATTTTTCTCACTAATAAACTTAGAAACTGGAACTCCAACATATCTAAAAAAGTTACTGTAAATAATATTATTAACAAATTAGAAAAATTTACAAAGTTTACACTGAAATAGAAACACAAAAAGAAGAAATACTAATTCTCCCCAAAATTTTAAAAGTTAATGAAATTAATT